CTACAAGTTATTGGAGAGGAGGTTTAGATTAGACATTTGCAAGAACTACTTCACGGTCAGGGCGGCTAGGATCTGGAACCAACTTCCAAGGGAAGTGGTGCTGGCTCCTACCCTGGGGGTCTTTAAGAGGAGGCTTGATGCCTACCTGGCTGGAGTCATCTGAGCCCAGTTTTTGTCCTGCCCTGGCGGGGGGTCAGACTTGAAGATCTACAAAGTCCCTTTGACCCGACATCTATGATTCTATGATCTTTGTGGCAACAACATCATCTGCTGGAGCAAAACTGAGACCTCCCCAAACTCATTTCACAGCCAAGAAAGGGTGAAAACTTTCTGACTTCATCCTAGGCTGGATTTGAACTCACAGTAAAGGCAGAGAGAAGATATGATAGCTCTCTGTAAAATGCATCACAGTTATAACCAGCAGGGAGGAAGGGAGAGGAGGACAATTCTGGCACAAAAATGAATGAGACCCATGGATAAATTCAGGCTGAAAACAAGGTTTCTAACCACCGGAGCAGTGAGATTCTGAAAGGAAAACAGCCTAAATCATCTTAAAATGGAGCTTGGTACATTTATGAATAGTCTAAGTTTCTCATACTGCTGTGTAAATTGCCAAGATTTAGAAATTACAATACACCTCTAAGGTGATGTCAGGGACATTTCTAACAGTACTGCTCACCCCACCTTTGTCTTAGGATGTGCAGCTAGGATCACAGTCAATGGCCATAATCATTTCATGTAATAATAGTCTATGGGATAAGGAAGAGAAAAGAGAGGAGCCATTTCCTGTGCTGCCTAGAGACATTGCCAAGCAGCCACTCTAGAGATATTATTTTTTGTTCTCAATAAAATCGACTTACTGTCCAGGGGAGTTTTTGACCCCCCTGAGTTTTAACCTTGGATGGGAACATCTCTGCCATGCACAAGCCCTGGGAGGCCGAATACAGCCAAAGGCGCTTTTAAAGATGTTAACCATTAGCAGTGGGAATGCTTTCTGCATGTTCCCACTGACCTTTCACTGGTAAGCACCGGGGGCCTGCGTCAGCAGAAACTCCTGGGTTATTTCAAGAGGCAAGCGTGCGTTCAGTTTGCCGCTAGTTGATGAATACACACTGCTGGCCCAATTTGAGCAGAAGGCAGCATGTACGACTCCAGCCACTGAGTTAAAGAGGGGCCAAAGGGCAAGCACAAGGAAATATTTGCTTCTCTGGTTTATAGGTCCATTACCGGGGCGGTGTAAAGCCCTTCTGTTTTGGAGCAAAGATCAGCTTGGTTTTACTTGCAGGGGGTCTGCTAACTGCTTGCAACAGGAAATACCGTTTCCTCGCAAATTCCTTACTTCCTGTGTGACCTATATTTTAATGAGCCGTGCAACAAATCCGCTCTGAGCCTTATTCCCACAACGCCGGCTAACTTCAAGTGGAGGTTTTGCTGCTCAAGCAACGCAGGATAAAGACGCTTCCAACCACGCCTGCTCTTTGCGCAGTGAAACGCCCCTGCTATTCAGCAGTTGAGCTGAGCGCATGCAAGCGTGAGCCATGCAAAACAGCCCTTGCTTAGGTCTTTCCATTTTGTTGCAGGTGCCTGTTTCGCCTGAGCTGAGGCACGACAAAGAAGTAGTTGCAGCTCATCACATTCACAGGCAGAGCGCTTGATATCGCCAAGAAGGCGCTGTGGTTCTGCCTTTACGGCCAAGAGTGCCCGTGCTTTTGACGCATTCATGGGGTAGCAGCGGAAATGCCGTGCAATGGTTACTTGACGGTTCATGTAAATGGGAGGGCCAGGGGATGATATGACGATGCACAGCACTAATGAATGACAGCTTGATGGTTCTGCGTGCTGTACTTACCCTCCCGCCGCAATTAGTCTGAGGGTTAAAAAGTAAAGGAGGAGAGAAAGGAAAATACATATTTCATTAGAGCAGCGCCACAAAAGTCTTTCTCCAAGTCAAGGAGAAGCTTTTCACCTGAGCCAGTTTAGCAAGGCCACACTTTAGAGAAGACCCCCACCCTCCCCGCAGGATTTGTTCTTGACTTGAAAATCCCAGGAACCACTTTAAACAGGGAAGATGTCTCTGTATCATACTGAGTTTGAAAAGGTTAGAGCAAATTTTACTTCTGCTGGCAGGGGTCCTTGCTACTTGTATGCAGCTTTGCAAAATTGTCACGAGCAAAGATAAGAAACCCCATTGCTGCTGGTCCTTAAAAGAAAAATCCCCCCCTCCACATTTTCCACTACACTTCATTCCTTTCAGACTGACTGTCACAAATAATTGTCAGCTCAGGAACCGTTCCTGTTTACAGGTGTACTTGCTACCCTCCAACAGCCTGGTGAGGTGTTTACTGGTAGGAACTTGAGCAGAGAAGCCAGCTTATTAACAGAAAGTTAATTTTCATTTTGCAAATGCAAGCTTTCAGACTGGAAAGCTGATCTGAAGACATATGCCCCTCCAATCAGGCACCAGGGATGTGCCAGCTGACCCATGCATCCAATCCCAGCTAAGCAATGCAGCTCAAATGTCAATGATCAAAAAAAAAACACACAAAAAATTCTCACCCACCATCCACAGAGCAAGGATGACTTGGGGGAATGATTGCAATATCATCACAATCTTTTCTGAAATGCGCACACACAAAAGATTTTGTTGAATAAATCATGGGGGTCTTCAAGAGGAGGCTGGACAGATACTTGGCTGGGGTGTTATGACCCTGGCACTCGTTCCTGCCCGGGGCAGGGGGTCGGACCGATGATCTGTTTAGGTTCCTTCCGACCCTAAGCACTATGATTTATGCCCAAGTTTATTGACTCAATTATTTGCTCAGCTACATGAATAGCTATCTTCTCTCTTGCTATTCCTTTTGCTCTCTTTTCTAAGTTTTGGAGACTGCTAGGAATAAGTGTTCTTCTCTCAGCCATCTCTGCTGCAGGATGTAAGCAGTGCATCAGTGAGTGGTGATGTACTTTAGCAACTGCTGGAAAGCCTGGAGTTGTGAAAATGTCCTTTCTATTTAGGAGTTACACTCCTAACAAGAGAGAGATACCTGGGCTGGATGTCACCCTTCTAATAAAAAAGTT